AAAAGAAAACGTCTGCAGGGAATACTATGCAGCCATAAAAAAGGATGAGTTCATGTCCTTTGCAGGGACATGGATGAAACTGGAAACCATCATTCTCAGCAAACTAGCACAAGGACAGAAAATCAAACACCACATGTTCTCACTCATAGGTGGGAATAGAACAATGAGAACACATGGACACAGGGCGGGGAACATCACACTGGGGCTGTCGAGGGGTGGGGGGCTGGGGGAGTGATAGCATTGGGAGAAATGCCCAGTGTAATGATGAGTTGATGGGTACAGCAAACCAACACGGCACATGTATACCTATGTAATTGGCTGAGTACTCAATAGTCTCCCTTGTTTTGGCATTAGCCAACATCTAAGCATCCTCATATTCACTCTGCAACCAGACCACTTACCACTCCTCAAGCATGTAAATTCAGCTCATACCACTGTGTGAGTAGTTTCTGTTCCACCTAGAGTGGCTACTCACTTTCCCTCTTTAGGGTTGCCAGATGTAGCAAGTCAAAATACAGAATGTGCAGTTAAATTTGAAGTTCAGATAAACAATGAATGATTATTTTAGTGTAAGTATCTCAAGCAAAAATCTGTATTTCTCTGGCAATCCTATTCACTTCTCATCAACACAAGTCAATATCTCATCCATTCGTTAATGTCACACTCAAATGTCACCTTCAGCATAAAGTCTTTCCCAATTCCTTCAAAAATGTATTCCTTCCTTCATTCAATTAACAAATATTTACTATGCTAAGTACTAGGGTAGAAACTGTGAAGAAGGTATAGTCTCCATCTCCGAGGATCCTCCAGGCTATAGAAGTAGAGAAGAATGAGTAGACAGTTACTATAAAGAAGTAAGTACAATGTGCCACGTAAGCAAAAAGCAGACATGTACTTTCCTCTGAAAACTTCTTGAAAAAAGAGGCCGCTGGGTGCGGTGGCTCACGCCTGTAATCCAGCACTTTGGGAGGCTGAGGTGAGCAGATCACCTGGGGTCAGGAGTTCGAGACCAGCCTGGCCAACACCCTGTCTCTACTAAAAATACAAAATTAGCCGGGCCTGGTGGTATGTGCCTGTAGTCCCAGCTACTTGGGAGACTGAGGCAGAAGAATTGCTTGAACCCAGGAGGCAGAGGCTGCAGTGAGCCAAGATCGCGCCACTGCACTCCAGCCTGGGTGAAAGAGTGAAACTCCATCTCAAAACTTAAAAAAGAAAAGAAAAAGAAAAAGGAGGCATGTTACACTCAAAATTTAGAACACAAGAGAAAGTCAATATTTGCTGAATAAATGGAATTCCTTCGAAAATTTCTCAAGATAAATACACTTTACTAAACACAATTTCTTTTTTTGGTAATGACTTCTGGCTTGACTTAACAAAGAAACCATTTAACTAACTTTTTTTAAAAAAGGAAAAGTCTTCAGTGTGATGGAAATGCAATGATAGTGCACTCGACAATCAATTACTTTGGCTAGATTGGATAGATTAAAATAGTATTAGAATTTTCTATACTCTAAAAAAAGAGAAAGAAAGAGAAAAAACTTACCACACGTTGAGCTGCTATCAATGCTGCTAATGTACTTCGCCCTGGCGCTCCGGGGGCACAGAAGGAAACCTGGACTTTGCTGCCCTTGATGGTCATACCATCTGCTGCCTGCTGGACCTCTTCAGCATGCTCCGCAGTGCTATATTCGACCACTGCAAAGCCACCAACGTAATTACCTTCATCCTGTGCAAGCTGATACAATACATTCTATTAAACAGTAATTCTGATCTTTACTTAGAAACATTTATTTACAATATATAATTTTCAAATTCAAGAACAAGTGCATTGGAGCATGATACTGGTGGAAATAACGTATTCTTTCTTTATGAAAATGTTTACTAATTGCTGAGATGTACTTCTTCCTGGAGACAGGAAGATAGGAGTCTGTCAAGTTTCTATTCAATTCTTTGATTTCCTTATTTATTTCAACAGTAAAAGCCCAAACGGCAATAGTCTCTACATATTAAGAAACATATAAACTGTTAATTTATAGGAAAATATGAGGACACAATAATTACAGCTTTCCTTAAAAGAAAATCACCAGGTACATGGACAGTGAAACATACTGAACAAATTATTTGACCACACATCAATGGAAAATAAAGTTAGTATTATCAAGAGAAGGTAGGAGGAACATTTCATTTTTATTTCACTATTTTAGGCAGATCCCAGGAATTTAGTCAAGTATACCAAGGCAAATCTTATTTAGGAAAACTGTGTCCCAGGTTTATTAAAAGCAACACACAACTTTTATTTCTGAATGTGCCCTAAATAAACTCCTGCCATGTAGAACTCGATTTATTTCCAGTCACCCACCCGTAAGACTGTAAAGGAAGATACTAAAGTCCTGGATCTGAAAAGACTGGTACAAAGAGCAAAAATAAGAACAAGATAAGACACTAAAACGTTTCTAGGTTTTGAACGCGTCTGAATTATCTTAAATACATTCATGCTATAAAGTGATAAATGACAAAATTCAGCTTAGTATGCCTTTGAGAAGACACATTTCCAATACTTCTATTTGGGTTTGCCATCTCATAAGCTGATATTACAACTAAATCACTTCTCAGTCCTTCTCAGTTTCTTTTCTCTTGTTTTTGAAGCTTATCTTTCTTCTACTTCCTTGTATATTTAGATCAGATTTCTATCTTTTCCTTCACATTATTTCTTCCTTTAAAAACTGTCATCAAATATCTTTTCCTACCCAAAGCTTTTTCCAATCACACAGGTAAAGGAAAAACATCTACCTCTTGTAAACATTTCTCTTTCTTTT